ATGCCTAGCTTGCATGGTTCACTTTTGCATGCTCCCATGATTCTGATTTATTTTCCTCCCGTCTTCTGTCTTGTTTTCCCATGATTTTAAAAGTTTAAAATTAACCTAAGTTCCTCTTTGGGAGGTAGAACAACAAGTGATAGAATCTGGAAGTAAAATGCCTGAACAAGGAAAAATCATCTCGTGACCAAAACCACGATGGCGTCCAAAGCTCAACAAGTCTGCAGCGTGGTTAATGTGGCCGGCCACCCAAGAGGGGAACTAGCATTCTGCAAAGTCCTTGGACTTTGATTTCTTCGTATATAACCCTCTGATCAGCTTCCAGACGAGGAGGCAGATTTTGGAGGAGCTCATTCCCCTCTGTCTCGTGTATATAGATACACAATAAAAACCCTCTTGCTACTCACCCCGCTCCTGTCTCACTATTGGCTTCTGCGACAGGCGGCTCAGACCCGCCATTAACAGTAACACTAGCCCCGGAAATAATGCTACCGAAATCCGTTTTTAAAATGATTGTCAACAATGTCAAATAACAATATTCCTAGAAACTTTTAACTATAAGATTACATAACAAGAGGGGAGAGGATCCATCCTGAAATCTAAGGGCAACTAATGAGCAATCTGAAGGGCCTCACAGGACACACAACTGTGACTTTTAATCTGGATTTTGGGAAGAGAAGCAGTTAACAGAAGCAACTAAGTGGCTGAAAAAACGTAAGGACCTAACAGTGAGAAGACCTGGTTTTCACCCTAGCTATGACAGTAATTAAGGCGCCCTGGTGGCGCAGTGGTTAAGCGCTGACCTGCTAACCAAAAAGTCTAGGGTTGGAACCCACTAGCTGCTCCACAGGAGAAAGATGTGGCAGTCTGCTTCCATAAAGACTAACAGCCTTGAAAACCCTATGGGGCAGTTCTCCTCTGTCCTATAGAGTCGCTATGAGTCAGAATTCAACTGACAGCAATGGGGGTGACAATGGTTAAGAGCTCCGATGCTGATCTTTGGCTGCTAACTGAAAGGTCAGCTGTTTGAATCCACTAGCTGCTCTTCAGAGAAAACGACCTGGTGATCTGCTCCCATAAAGTTTACAGCCTAGGAAACCCTCTGGGGCAGTTCTTCCATAGGACAGCTCTACTTTGTCTCACAGGGTCACCATGAGTCGGAATTTATGCCACCACACAGAACAACAACAGTAGTTAAAGGTGTGATACTTGGCACTTCATTTTCCTCGTCTGTAACAGATGACCATGACAATTTCTTGGATCGCTAAAATTCTATAATTCTGTGATGCTAAGATTTTCTTCAGCCTGACTTCTCTATCACCAGGTTAATAAAATCGTTTGGAGTTGCTCCACAGCCTCAACATAGGCTACATGTCCCTAATCTGTACTCACAATTAGAGGCACCTCTGCTCTGCCAAGAGAAAGAAAAGTATTAATTACGGCTTCTCTACCACGAGCCAGTTACTGTGCTAGGTGCTTTCACACGTATGATAGCATTTAAGTCTTAAAACAACCTTGCCAGATATGTATTATATCTCCATTGCTACAGACACCAAAGCTATGAATAGAGAGGAACCCTGCTGTAGTAAAAACATTACCAAATGCCATTGAGTCAACCCTGACTCATGGTAATCTCGTATGTGTCAGAGGAGAACTGTACTCCATTGGATTTTCAAAGGCTGGTTTTTGGAAGTACGGTGCCAGGATTTCTTCTGAGGCGCCACTGGGTGGAGGGCTCAAAATGGGTCAAACCACTTAATAAACCAGCTCCTCCGCTTAATAACTGTGTGGTCTGGGAACATTACTTATTGTCTACTTATGTGGAAAATGAGGATGATCATAATACATCTGCCTATGTGTATAAAACACCTAGTGCATGGCATGGCACATAGTAGATACTCATTTGGTAGAAGCTGTTAATGTTGTTGTAAGGTTCACACAAATCATGGGGCTAAACAGAAAAAGTATTTCCAGTCTTACTCCACTACACAGAGCTGCCTCTCAGCCTTGTCCACATATAAACAAAACAGAACAACAAAAACACCAGTTGCCATTAAGTCAGTTCCAACTTACGGAGACTGTGTGTGTCAGGGTAGAACTGTGCTCCATATGGTTTTTGTGGCTGATTTTTTGGAATTAGATTGCCAGGTCTTTCTTTCAAGGTGCCCCTGGGTGGACTCTTAACAGTCAACCTTTTGGTTAGCAGCAAAGTGTTTAACCATTTTGTGCCACCCAGGGACTCCTTGTCCACAAATAGCTACTGCTAAATATTTTGGATGTGTCTAGATCCTATTCATACATTTAATAGTGTTTTATCTTTGTTTTTATTTTAATTCTGAGAAACAAAAGCCCCTGCAAGCCTGGAGCTGGCATGCACTCACAGCTAGGCCGTGTCTTCCCAGTTCAACATAAACAATGTCAAAGAACGTCAGCACCAGATAAGGTCACTGTAACCATGATGAATCAACAAAAACAAGACTATGGTATTCATAATCACATCTAAACACACACCAAAAAAACATGAGCATTGTCCCAGCCACAAAAAATGACCAAATAGCCCCCTATCCTGGTCGTGACTGCCATTTCCTTATCAATCACTTTTAGCCTCCTTCCATTCTTATGTATTAGATAAGAATTAAGATTTCAAAGAGCTCAGCTGCCAACCAAAAGGTTAGAGGTTCAAGTCCACCCAAGGTGCCTTGGAAGAAAGGCTTGGTGACTTACTTCCAAAATATCAGCCATGGAAAACCCTATGCAGCACGGTTCTACTGATGCACATGAAGTTGTCATCAGTCAATTGGAAGGCACTTGGTTTTGTTTTTTTATCATAGAATTATTACACTACTTCCTGACAGTATCCAACCTGGAACAAGGCTCCTGCTTCTTTGAATCTTCCCCAAATCACCAACAATAAGCCCAATTTCTGTGAGTCATTCCTAACACCCTCTTTGACACCTCATGGTTCCTCATGGTAAGTGTTCTCCCTTGTGGCAATAAGTCAATAAACTCAACTTTGTTCAACTACAAGTGTGATTCTGGTGGCCTTTGTATGGCAGTATTAGCAGCCCTATAAGATTAAAAAACCAGAATTCTATTTTGAGGTAAGAGGTACAAATCCAAGCCAGATTACTAAGCCACTTATTAGACATTTGTTTATAACTTAAGTTTAAAAACAAAGAAAAAACAGTTGTGAGATCCTAATTTAGCTATACACAGTTCTGTATTAGGAGCTCTGGTGGCGCAATAGTTAAGCACCGGGCTGCTAACCGAAAGGCCAGCTGTTCGAACCCACTCCTGTTCTTCAGGAGAAAAGACCTGGTGATCTGCTCCCATAAAGATTACAGCCAAGGAAATCCTATAGGGTAGCTCTACTCTGACTTATAGGGTCACTATGAGTCTCGGAATTGATTGGATGGCACAGAACAGTGACAGTTTTGTATTCTGAAAAATCAGAACCAGGGCAGCCTCCTGAAGCAAACATTTTAGCAACACATCTGACAAGAATCTCTCAAGAACTTTTTCTAAAATTAACTCATTGCACAGCATTCATCTGGAATTAATCCCTAGAATTAAAAAAGTATGTTAAATTGGCAGCATTCAGAAAGTTAGTAGAGACAGAATGCAAACAATGAGTTTCTTTTAATGGAGAAAACTTCCCAAGTTTCACTTTATGAAGATCTCTTTTAAATCTATTGCCTTCTGAAACTTATGAAGTATTCTTAAGGTAAGGCCTCCAGAGAAAGATCAACAGACCACTACACTGGAATCGACCAAGAGCTTTTTTCTAAGCCGACTTCTAGGCTCCACCCTAGCTTTACTAAATCAGAATTTGTAGAGCCCTTGAATCTGTACACTTAACAAGTTCTCTCAAGTGATGTTTACCCAAGCTAAAAGTAGAAAACCACCCACCAACCTAGGGGCAGAGGAGAATAAACTAGCTGCATGCCACCCTGGAGCCATAGCCTGAAATGGCCCTTACAAAACTGTCTAATTTAAAGTATTTTACTACCATATTTTTATGCAAATAATGGGAGCCTCCTGTGTTTGCTTGCTGGCTGCCCCCACAAGGTGTTTTCTAAGCATGCTATGCTAATTTTTTACAGCAACAGGAGGAAGAGGATTGGTATGGAGGCACTTGTGAGAGTGCCTCTTGGGTGGTGGGGCAAGCACATGGCCAGCAAACAAAAGGCAGAAGGACCACGTTATTTGCATTAACATACGGTATTCTATTTTTTAAATGCAAATTTTGTATACTATTCCTTTTCATGAATATTTTTAAATATAAATTTTAAATTGCCAAATAGATTACTAATTGCCTTCTTTTTCAAGTAAAATTAAAGCTCTAGGAATATGTCATATTTATCTTGATGCTTCTAAGAACATACTTGGCCTGAGAGAGGAGTAATACACATTTTAAGTTCCAAACACCATAGACCATTCCTCTTTGGTTCTTTACTATACGCCTCGTCTAATAGAGTATCTGCCACACAATAGGCTATGAATATTTGTTAGATGAATGATTATATATTGCTGTCTGTGCTATTTCTCTTATAGTCCATTTTATCTAGTCCAATTTCATTTGACCGTCTTCTCTGATCCTATGATTTTTAAGTGTGACATTTATAGGTTCCTCAGGTGAACATTCATCTAGACTACAATTGTCAACTAGTATTTCTAGGTCAAATATGGAGAAGCGTAGAAGCAGGAGGGACTAGAGAGTATGAATATTAGACTAAAAATATTTTAGAACAGGAAGGAGGCTTATACAACATCTAATTCCTAGCTTGCGGTGAAATAAGAAAAATAAGAATTGTAGTGAATTTTTTTGACACTAAGTTTATTCAATTTAAAGACTATGAGACTATTCATATTGAGACTATGCTCTTCCCTACCAACTCAACATTAACAGTGTTGTTTTATGAAGATTGTGATGCTAGCCTTTTTTTTTTAATGGCTTCACTTGGCGAAATAAAAAGCAATTCTATCTTACCCCTCAACCTTCTTCTAACTTATTGGTCCATGAAATTCTAAGGTCTGGGAATCACTGGTAGAAAAAGTAAATTAAAAATACTAGCTAATATTAAGTGCTTCCCGAGTTTAGCCCTTTATATCAATTATTTGATATTTCCCCAAAATATCTGTGTGGGAGCTATTATCTCCCATTACAGATGAAGAAACTAAGGCTCAGAGAGAGAGTCTATTAAGTGCGGAAGCACAGCTTAAAACCCAGGCAATATAACCCGGCACACTTACTTACTGTTCCCCACTATCTCGCTGAAGCCAAACTCATTAGACAAGTCACTTAACATCTCTGAAATTCAGGTTTCTCATCTATATAATGAAGATAACAGTATCTGCCTCATTTGAGTTATTGGGAGTATTATTACTGTTCATTAGCTATCATTTAGATGCATACTTAGGCCTTGTTTCCACAGGTAAATTTGTGAAATGCTTCATTTCTACAGAAGCTTTATTGGTCTTAAGTCATTGCTTCTAGGTCATACTAGCAGCTGTGCATTCCTGTAAATATGCAAAGAAAAGCTAAGCCTCCTACCTGAGAATATTCTTGCTCCAGTAATTTTTTTTTCAGGTATCTCCCTAACATAAGAGATCAACACACACATTAACTTATATGGTAGCCCAACAGGATCCATTTTTTCCTTTGCATCTTCAATTCCCCATTTTGTTATTACTCCCTTCTGAAAAACTACATTCATTTTTCTTCTAAGAATACCTTGGTCTCATCTACTGGTCCCATCCTGTCCGGAGCAAAGGAGAATGAAGAAAACCAAAGACAAGAAAAAATATTAGTCCGAAGGACTAATGGAGCACAAGTACCACAACCTCCACCAGCCCGAGCCCAGAACAACTAGATGGTGTCTGGCTACCACCACCAACTGCTCTGACATGGATCACAAGAGAGGGTCCCAGAAAGAGCTGGAAAAAATGTAGAACAAAATTAAAATTCACACAAAAAAAGACCAAATTTATTGGTCTGACGGAGACTGGAAGAACGCCCAAGACTATGGCCCCTGGACACCCTAACTCAGAACTGAAGCCACTTCCAAAGTTCATCCTTCACCCAGAGATTAGACAAGTCTATAAAACAAATAACACTCTTGCAGAACATGCTTCTTAGTTCAATGATGTATATGAGACCAAAAGGGCAACATCTGCCCAAAAGCAATGACAAGAAGGCAGGAAGGGACAGGAAAAATGAATGGATGGAAAAGGGGAATTGGGGTGTGGGATAGGGAGAGTGTTGACACATTGTGGGGATTGCAAACAATGTCACAAAACAATTTGTGTATAAATTGTTGAATGAGAAACTAATCTGCTCTGTAAAATTTCACCTAAAGCACACACCCAAACAAGAATACCTTGGTCTCAAAGAAATGGCAGCTAAATTAATAATTCCGTTTATAAAATATAAACTGTGTAAGTAATTATAAATTATGGTGTATCCTTACTAGAACATTTTGCAGCCATAAAAAATGCATTTGTACTTTACTTACTGACATGAAAAACTTTCTCAAGAACATTACCCACACTCAATCCTGGTCTCCTGGAAGAAACCTCTGGATGACACTAAAACTGAGATGTACTGATTCATAAGCAGATAAATTACTAAAATTAGGTGGGGATTTGGGCTACTATGAGCTAATGAACATTACGACATAAAAAGGAGTCTCCAAAGAGCGAGAAGCAGAAAGTAGGTGGAAATGAGATTGTGTCACCTAAGGTGGGCTCCCCCTAGGTAAATGGGTCTCAGGTCTCAAGGCTGAGGTTGCATTTGAGTTCACTGGAGAGGCAAGGGCTTTGAGTAGGAATAAAGTGAAGGTTCCTGACTCTTTATTGGAGAGGACGGCCGGCTGTATGTGGCATAACTGGGAAATAAGTCTTCCTGGTCTGATAACTTAGTGCTAATTAAGGGAACTGTTTCAACAATTATTGAGCATTTATACATACCAGCCACCTTTCTAGGCAATGGGAGCACTATTGGTGAAGATGAAAAACAATTTCAGACAGTGTTAAGAACTATGACTATAACAGGCCAAAATAATGTGATAAAGAGACAGAGGAAGGGCCTGAGGCCAGAATCATGATGAAAGGTTTTAGCTATGCAAACATTTAGAATGAATGGACCAAGTCACAGTAACAGCAAGTGAACAGGTCTTGAGACAGAAATAAAGCCAGTGGGACTAGAGCAATGTCAGCAAGGGAGAAAACAGAAAGGTCATGAGGAAAGCAGGGGACAGATCATAGTACAGAGCTGGTATAATGCAAAGCTAGTAAGATTTAAACGGGCAGTCATCTAACTCTTCAAATACAAACCAACTACCTTTGTAACTAAGGAGAATGCATGGAGGAAAGGGGGAAGGGCGGGCAAGAGGGAGAAACTACAAAGGCACTATTCCAGGTGAGAAACAAGGATAGCTTGGCCTAGGGTGGTAACAATGGAGATGGGGCAAAATAGACAGATTCCAAATACATGTCACTCACTGACAGCGTGAGCATGTTTGTACAGGGTCTCTCGACTTTTATGAAACCTAAGTAGAAGAAATTTCCGTGGTTCTAACTTCAAAAATACCAAGCTACTTTAGAGCCCAATCTGGTACATATAATCTCAACTTTATTTAGGGTAAGTCAGACTCTGATTACAGTCTGAGCAATTCTTGGTACATTCAGAATACTGCTGCAGAGAGAGGACCAGCACGTAGCAAGTTAACACACCACCACCGCCCCATGAGACTGTGTGGATCATCAGCTGGCGCCCCCATGACATCTCTCTTAGCCCTTGAAAGCCGCCAGAGCCTACAGTGCTTTCTTGTGGTTATCACAAATCCTCAAAATCTAACCTTAGTCCTTGGTAGTGATTTCATTAAAGTTGTAAGAATCATTCACAAGATGAATAAAGTGAGAAAAAGCAAATGGGCAGAGATATTATTCACTGGTCTAAAGTATTTCCAAATTACTAGCTTAATATCCCCTCCATATTTTAAAAAAAGAGTAAATTATAAGTCTCAGATGATCAATTTATTAGAAGGTGGGTAAAAAGCTTTTAAATGCTACCTCAACTTAAAGGATGAAGATAAAATTTAGTGCTTCTTAAAACACTGCAGGTCTACAGCTATCTCATTTTTAAAAAGTCATTTCTATCTATTTGTATGCGCACAGAGTACTCTGTGTGTGCTAATGTTCATTCAATTTTAGGGTTTTTTTTGTGGGGGGGATTTTTAATGACTCTTTTGCTATTTATGTTAATTCGGAATTGCTTTGTTTTTTTCCCCTATAATTAGCATGTATCATTTAAACAAACTATTATTCCGAAGTTTTTTAAAAAGGCAGGTCAAGCATTTCTAGTCAATCTAGATAGAGGGGAGGCAAATATAGCTCCAGCAAACAACATGAAAACTTCAAAAATTCAGTACATGTAACTGAATTTCAAAATTAGGAAATGGTATGTTTACTAGATTCTTTAATCAAGCTGATAGTCAAGACGTAGAAAAATCTTTATGGCTATTTCCATTTATAAAACTCAAATCTATCAGTTTTCCCCAAGAAATAAATCACTGCTTTGTTTTAAGAGGCAATTTATTTAGACAACTAAAAACAATTAGATGATATTCAGAAGCAGTGTACAATGAAAAAGAAGTCAGACAAATTACTTTATCATTTATTCGCTCTTCTTTATGACTAGAACAAAAGTCTTTCTGCTTTAAGGGAAAAGTCAGAAAAATAGGCCATTATATTTTTTTTCTCCATAATAACATAAACAGCTGCAAGAAATCTAATTGTAATAAGAGGAATTGGATGCTGGCTTGCACATATTCATTCTGAAGGCAGTAGGCTGTCGAACTACAAGAGCATAACTCCATCTGCCTTCTTCTGATACTCTTGAGTTTTCACTTACAGGTAACACCAAGTTAGTTCCAGTGCAGGAGCTAATTCATATTCCCCATTATTTACTGTCCATGTTTGCCTGAAGCAGAGAGTAACCCTGGAAGGCTGATGCTTTTCTCTGCTTGCCTGTTTTAGTCCGTAGGCTGTATACTATGGCATATGCCCGATGCTCAGGCCTTAACTTCAGGAGTTGAACTATAGATGGAATCTGAATTCTCTGATGCAATTTCTTCTGCAATTAAAAAACAGAAAATCACATTAATCAACTTAATAAAGCAAAAAAGCAAATCTACATTTATGTGTAATGAAGGACCAAAAAAGTCTGTTAAAGTATGCTGTGATGAGGGGAGAAAAAAAGAGCAAATGCACCTGGTGAATGAAGAAAGACCTCATGTATTTTACCCATTAGACTCTCTTATACCATTAACTATAAACTTCCCAGGTGTCCCTCTTTTAATACTGTACATTTCTGGGCTACATTTCCAATGAGTCCAGCTATCCAATAACAATGAATTAAATTCATGCATCTTTAAAAGATCTGGCCTCCTCCTTTAATTATTCTGACATAAAACAAAATTAAATTATCAGGGCATATTATCACTTATAATTCTAGATTTCAGAAAGATTCATTTGGTGTGTAGCAAGTGCTTAATAAATTTTAAAAATTCATAGTGATTCAAATCCTTATATTTTAGGTGACTCAAATCAAAATACTAAATTTTTGTTGAACAGGGTGCTTAACAATAAAAAAAACTTAAGGAGAATTCTAACTGGGTTAAGTGTAATCCCTCTCCCCCTTCTCCCTCCAAATCATCACACCCAATTTTTCATGGCAGAAATCTGGAATTTTCTTATACTCCCTCTCTGCAAAATAATAAAATTACCAAGTCCTATCAATTCTCCAAGAAGCCCTGGTGACACAGCGGTTAAAACACTCAGCTGCTAACCAAAAGATCAGTGGTTCAAACCCACTAGCCGATTCATGGGAGAATGATGTGGCAGTCTGTTTCTGTAAAGTTTTACAGCCTTGGAAACCCTCTGGGGTAGTTCTACTCTGTTCTATAGGGTTGCTGAGAGTCAGAATTGACTCCACGGTCGTGGGTTTGGGCACCAATTCTCCACCAAGTCTCTCATCTCCATCTATCTTTCCCTATTCTCACTGCCATTTTCTTTGTCAAAACCACATGATCTCTCACTAAGACTACTGGGTATTTTACATAAATAACATGCGTGTTATCCTTTTTTTTGGGCCAACCACATGCCTCCCCCCGCCCCCAACCGCCACAAGGTAGTTCCATAAGCTTTTTTTTTTTACATCCTGTATGTTGTTGTTGTTGTTAGGTGCCATCAATCAGTTCCAAATTATAGCGACCCCATGTACAACAGAATGAAACACTGCCCAGTTCTGCGCCACCTTCACAATCTTTGTTATGTTTGAGCACACTGTCGCAGCCACTGTGTCAATTCATCTCATTGCAGGTCTTCCTCTTTTTCACTGACCCTTTACTTTACCAAGCACAGAGTCCTCTGCAGGGACTGGTTCCTCCTGATAACATGTCCAAAGTATGTGAGATGAAGTCTCACCATCCTTGCTTCTAAGGAGCATTCTGGCTGTAAATCTTCCAAGACAGATTTGTTCATTCCTCTGACAGTCCACGGTTATTCAATATTCTTCGTCAACAACATAATTCAAAGATATCAATTCTTCTTTGGTGTTCCTTATATACTATCCAGCTTTCACATGCATATGACATGATTAAAAGTATCATGGCCTGGGTCAGGCACACCTTAGTCCTCAAAGTGACATCTCTGCTTTTTAACACTTAAAAGAGGTCTTTTGCAGCAAATCTGCCCAATGCAATCCGTCTTTTGATTTCTTGACTGCTGCTTCCATGGGCGTTGACTGCAGATCCAAGTAAATTGAAATCTTTTACAGCTTCAATTTTTTCTCCGTTTATCATGATGTTGTTTATTGGTCCAGTTGTGAGAATTTTTGTTTTCTTTATGTCGAGGTACAATGCATACTGAAGTCTTTGATCTTCATCAGTGTTTCAAGTCCTCTTCTCTTTTAGCAAGCAAGGCTGTGCCATCTGCATATCACAGGTTGTCAATGAGTCTTCCTCCCATTCTGGTGCCCGGTTCTTCTTCACATTGTCCAGCTTCCTGGATTATTTGCTCAGCATACAGATTAAATAAATATGGTGAAAGGATACGACCTGGACACATACCTTTCTTGACTTTAAACCATGCAGTAACTGCTTGTTCTGTTTGAATGACTGCTCCTTGGTCTATGTACAGGTTCCTCATCAGGAGAGTTAAGTGTTCTGGAATTCCCATTCTTTGCAACGTTATCTATAATCTGTTATCCACACAGTCAAATGCCTTGGCATAGCAATAAAACACAGGTAAACATCTTTCTGGTATTCTCTGCTTTCAGCAAAGATCCATCTGACATTAGCAATGATAACCCTCATTCCACGTCCTCTTCAGAATCTGACTTGAACTTCTGGCAGTCCCGTCAATGTACTGTTGCAATTTCTTTTGAATGATCTTTAACAAAATTTTACTTGTGTGGGATATTAATGATAGTGTTCAATAATTTCCATGTTCTGTTGGATCAGTTTCTTTGGAATGCGCACAGATATGGATCTCTTTCAGTCAGTTGGCCAGTGTCATGGATTGAACTGTGTCCCCAAAAAACATGTGTCAACTTGGTTAGGACATGATTCCTAGTATCGTGTGGTTGTCCTCCGTTCTATAATTTTCCTGTGTGTTGTAAATCTAATCTTTGTCTTTGGTTAACCAGGCAAAATTAGATTATGCTAAAGAGGATTAGGGTGGGACTGTAACACCCTTACTAAAGTCACATCCCTGACCCAATGTAAAAGGAGTTTTCCCTGGGGTGTGGTCTGTACCACCTTTATCTTACAAGAGATAAAAGGAAAGGGAAGTGAGAAGAGAGCTGGGGACCTCATACCACCAAGAAAGCAGCGCAGGGAGCAGAGCGCATCCTTTGGACCTGGGGTGCCTGCACAGAGAAGCTCCTAGATCAAGAGACTGATGAGAAGGATCTTCTTCCAGAGACAACAGAGAGAGAGAAAGTCTTCCCCTGGGGCTGGTGCCCTGAATTCGGACTTCTAGCCTATCATACTGTGAGAAAATAAACTTCTGTTTGTTAAAGTCATCCACCTTGTGGTTATTTCTGTTACAGCAGCAGTAGATGACTAAGACAGCTAGGAAGCTGTCTTCCAAATTTCTTGACATAGGTGAGTGAGTACCTCCAGTTTGTTGAAACATCTCAATTGGTATTCTGTCAACTCCTGGAGCCCTGTTTTCCACGCAGCTTGGTCTTCTTCCTTCAGTACCATCCGTTCTTGACCATATGCTACCTCCTGAAATGGTTGAAAGTCAACTACTTCTTTTTGGTACAGTGACTCTGTGTATTCCTTCTATCTTCTTTTGTTGCTGTATAAAGGCCCTAATTGGTCTATGTTCACTCTTGTCCCTACTCCAATTCGTTCTGCAAACAGCCAAGATAACCTTTTAAAAACTCAAATTTGAAGTTATTATTCCTCTGCTTAAAATTCAAAGGCTTCTCATTGCTCTTAGTAGAAAGCTCTCCAAGTCCTAACAGCTTATGAGGGCTTATATGATCTAACTTCTCTAATATCATCTTGCCTTTGCTCTTTAACCCCAAAGCATGATTAAGTTCTTCTAGTTCCATATAAGCTGTCCTCCCTCTTGCTTCTAAGGCTTAGTTAACATTGTTTTTTTCTGCTGTAAACTCTTCCATCATAGAAGAGTACTCTACTAACATGCCATCTCATAACCTCGCCTAACTTACTGCCACTTATTCTCCAGGTCCAAGTTTAAATGTCACTTCTCCAGGAAGCCTTCCCTGATTCCCTAGAAGAGACAGCTCCTTAAAATTATTTAATACTGTGTTTAATTATTTTAGTATCTGCCTTCTCAGTTAGATCTAAGATTTTTGAGAAAATGACATTAGTTTTGTCCACATGACATCCTCAGTGCCTACTATGCGGTAAGCATATATTTAAATAAAAACCAAACCTGTTGTCGTCGACTCAACTCCAACTCATAACAACCCTACAGGACAGAGCAGAACTGCCCCACAGGGTTTCCAAAGAGCAGCTGGTGGATTCAAACTGCCGACCTTTTGGTTAGCAGCTGAGCTCTTAACTACTGCGCCACCAGGGCTCTTGAATTTAAATATTGGTTTTATATGTGTTCAATGAAACCGTTTTAAACTTTTCATTATTTAACTGTTCACATTTGAAACATTTCGCATGGCAACGGGTCAAATTCAAGTTTAACACTTCAAGTCAATTTTAAATTCCCCCAGGACTCTACAAAAGTCAATTCATTAATATTCTACCTAGCTCCTCTTCTGTTGTCTCTGGAAAACTGATCTTCGGCTTTGCCAGCTCACCACTATCTTCTTCTATGAAAAGAAAACAATGATGAGTACGTGAATTACAATATGTAGCATTTAAGAAGAGATACTCTTCCAAGTGATGAGTTGTAGCAACAACTCCTTTTTAATAACTGTGATTCTGAAATAGTATATCTTTCTTCAAAAATTACTTTTAGGTTCATATTACTTCGGGATCAATAACTACGTATCTTTTATTAAAAAGAAATTCAATCCATTCCATTCTAATGAGCTAGTGTAAAAATTTAGGAATATACTGTAAAATACACAAAAAAATATTTAAACAAACCAAAGAACTCAGTGGGCCAATTTATTATCATGGGCATCTATCTGGTTAACCCATACTGAATAATGTAAAATATACAGATGACAGAAACATGAAAATAGAATGAAGGATAAAAAGTGACACAAAATCATGCAGTTTAATTTGATAAATCTGAATAAAAATTCTTACCAGGAAGCACACATTTCCAAAGGCCGTATGTTTTTCCTACCACAGTTTGCCATAGTCTCAATGTTCCATCTTCAGAACCACTGGCATAGAGTTCTCCATCAGGACTAAATCTCACACAGTGAATAGGACCAAAGTGTCCTTTGTAGGATTCTGAAAAAGAGAGGGAGGGCTATTAAATAATTTAATACCAATTAAGTGCTTGACTACTAACCAAAAGGTTGGTGGTTTGAACCTACACAGAGGCAACTCGGAAAAAAGGCCTGAGGATCTGCTTCCGCAAGGTTACAGCCTTGAAAACCCTAGGAAGCAGTTCTACTCAGCAATGCATGGGGTCACCATGAGTCAGAATCAACTTGACAGCAACTTAACTATTAGGTTAAGTATAAATATTCTAGAGAAGATACTGTCTATATAATTGTGGAGATTCAAACTTCATAAGGGCAAATACAAACAATTTTACCTAATTAAAAATAAAGTAATTCTCAACAGAAAGTGGTACACCATGTCTACCGCTTCTACCTAAGATTTCCCCTTTCCCATTCAAGTATAGATTACGGTTACATATTGTCTCTCTAAAAAAGAAAATGAGGCTTCACTTCATTAAGGATGGAGGAGGAGAAGTACACAAAGGCCCCCTAAATTTAACAGAAAGCAGATCTAAAATCTATAAATTCTAATCTCTCAATTTCCATTTGCTAATCTCATTGCCTATTTACCAGGGAATTAATTCTAACGACTATAGAGAGCCACCAGATGGAGCTCTTTCACACTCTCTACCCCTTAATCTGCTATCAAGCCCTAGAGTCCACTAGTCATTCGTCACACAGAATATCGAGATCTAGGATTAACACTGATCATTAAATACTTTAATCTATGAAATCTAGTGAAAAAATGTACACATTAATAGTGTTGCTCTGTTTAAGTCATACCCTCATCACGTTAATTCTCAAAGCTCTTTACTATACCAACGCTCCTGTTCTATCTCCATGCTTATTAAACTCAAGAACCGCCACACATTCTCTTCCCCCAATTCTGTCCAACCAGACAATGGAAAAAGGATTATGAGAGTACAAAGAACATGACGTTTTGGAATGAGAAATGAGTGGGTTCAAGGTCCAGTACCTAGCAGCTGCAACCTCAGGCAAATAATTCATAAAATTGTTTTTGGTTCTTTGTGTACAATTCCAACAAACTTTAGTTTTTTGGGTGGCAAAGCAGGACAGCTAGAAGCATGTAGGAATAATAACAAAAAGTGGCAGCTTATAGATAAAGAAAATTATAAAAAATACACAACTTCAAAAAGCGAAATTATTTGGGAAGACTAAAAGATTCTGAGAGCCATACATTAACTATATGAAATACCTAGTTCATTAAATAACTGTGAAGTTAGGATGTGTGTTAACTTCAAATTAATCCTCCATTGCCTACTCTTTCCCTTTATAAAAGGACTATTATCATGAAAATGGAAGCAAACTGACTCAAAATAATAAAATAAACAAAAAAACCAAACCTGTTGCCACTGAGTCAATTCCAACTTATAGTGACCCTATAAAAGGACAGAGTAGAACTGCCCCATAGGGTTTCCAAGGAGCGGCTGGTAGATTTGAACTGCCGACTTCCTGGTTAGCAGCCAAGCTTTTAACCACAGTGCCACCAGAGCTCCAGATTCCTGAATGTATCCCTGTAATATGTTACCACTGTTTGTTTCCCCACACTATGGTCTACAGAGCCTTAAAGATTTCTCAAAGTTGGCCAAAAGGAAGTGTTGGGGAGGGATGGGGGGTATAGATAGGGCTATATGCCTGTACCATACTTCAGAAGTAACAACTCTCCTTCGCTCTGTTTAATATATGGGATTTGGAAGTAAGACTGAAACATCTCCCTATCCCCACGCAAAAAACTCTGAGAATCACTGCACTGTAGTATAGAAATCCAGCACAATGATGACTTAAGCTAAAAGGAAAAGGTGAGTTCAGTACACTGTTTATATAGTTCTATAAAAATTTCTATCCAAAATAGATAAAAACCCTTTATCACTTGGAAGCTGCAAGCTTTAGCTAGCTAAAAATTTTGCTTTCAACAGGCTATATATATATATACATACACACACACACACACGTGAGGTGTTAATTACTGAAACCCAACATTTAATAAAGGTTGCTGTTGGTGGTAGTGGTTGCTGACTCATGGTGACCCCATGTGTTACAAGTAGAACTGCTCTATAGGGTTTTCTTAGTTGTAATCTTAAGAGAAACAGATCACCGAGACTTGTATTCTGAAGTACTCCTGGGTGGATTTCAACTGACAATCTTTAGGTTAGCAAGGTTAAGTGAGGAATAAGAGAACAACTCACCTAATTCCTCTCCACTATTATAATCATACTTATAAAGTTTAAAATCTTCACCACCTGCAACTAGAAATTCTTTCTCAGGGTGAAGAGATGCAGAATTGATGGTAGCAGGAGCTTCAAAAGATTTAATTGGATCCAAACTAAAGAAAAAAAAAGAAGTGCTGAGGGAACCTGCTGTTGGAGTGGAGAGACAAAAAATCAAGAAATGAAGAAAAGTTTAAAAAAAAGAAAAGTAAATAATAAATATTTATACGTTTTGAATATTCTATAAAAAATTCAAGAAAAAATTAGTTACATTTAAACTGTTAAGTACCTTAATTGTCGTTTGTTACTCAAAAAGAAAACAAAGATATTTCTTGGACATACCTTACTGCACTATGAAAAGCAATAGACCGTCCATAGGTTATTACCAAGATCTCTCCCTCAGGAATATATTCCATACTGCTAACAGACATATTAAAATTTAGAGATTTCACTTCTGTCATAGTAGCCTGATCCCAAAGGCTGCAAAAAAAAGAAAAATAAGATGATGTTTACTTATTCAGGAAAAAACGTAAACCCTAATTACATCTGCAGATTAACCAGCTAAAGAATAATCACAACTGTAGTAAAACAACACATATTCGAAGTCATAAATCAGAGATGACACAGAGGGAGCTCCTATACAACGTCAGATTATTTAGTAGCTTGTTAGTGAAGTCAACTTTAATACCTAAATACGCTTCCCAAAAAATTTAGCAAAACTATTAAAACACTTAAGTACTATTCGAATCAGTTTTCAGTCCTGCTCTTTACAGTGCCTCTTACCCTGTTTTTGTGAATCTGATGACATAGCTATGTATCTATCTTCCCACAGAAAAAGGGATCAGCACACAAAAATTCTGTACAGAATTTCAGGGGCTTCATGGACCACCTATGGCCAGCCTGTTCAGAGACCCAGGTAAAGAACACTGGCTTATATAGTTTTAATTTTCTTTTCAATACTGCTCTATGAATATAAATAGTATAAATGTGACTTAAAGTGGAATTTAAGTTTCAATATTAAGAAACAATTCTTCTTGCATATTATTTACAATAAAATGTATTTAAAGTATAAACCCTGGGGGCAAATATTTTTCAGATGTTAAATTACTAAAGAAAAATTACTTACCGGACAGTTTTATCATCAGCTGAAAGAATTTGTTTATCCTCACTGCACCATAGAGCCTTTTTAATACCAGAGGTGTGACCACTGATTTCCTTAGGTTCTAAAGATAAAACAATCTGATTTTTAAAATATTCTAAAATAGACTACAACTGTTCAAAGCTCAGCACAATTCAAACCTAATGTTTACACAAAAAATTTAGTTTTCCTACACTGAACAAAAATTTATGTGTAAGAACTATGATGATGTCATTATGTAGCAGGGAGTAAATACATCACTCCCTCCAGGCAAATTTTCTGCACAACTAATGTTATTCAAAAGCATTACTGCTACCTCTCTCCGAAAAACGAATAACTGATGTGGCATAACTTAGTAAGAACACAGGCGACCGGGTAACAAGAGTCTGAGCTAACTCTCGTACCCTCAGCCAAGGCACTTTTGTCAGAAACTAACAGAAAAAGATGAATGCAGGGCTGCCAGGAGAGAAGGAAAATAAAAAAAACAGTAATTTCTAGGAATGTTTCTACACACAGAGAAACAGATAACAAAAACGTGAACCCGTCTCTGTTGGAGACTTCCCCTTCAAAAGGTTTCCAAAAAATCCTCATTGTTACCTCTGGACAAAAGCAAATGCCGAAAGGAATGCCATTCAACATATTTGGACTCCAAGCATGTTACCTAACCCTTCTATGACTACATTTCTTCACCTGAAAAATGGACTAACACTAGTTACTATACCTCCTAATTCTACTGTAAGGATCAAAGGGGAATATATACGTAAAGTGAGAAACACAGTGCCTGTCATACAGTTAGTGCTCAGGTAATTACTACTATTTCTACTGCCAGTGTACAGTGGAAGAATCATTTCTAAAAGCAGCTTTGGGAAAGGTAAAAGGGGATGAAAAACATCCACCCAAGCTCTGAACTACCTTGTTATGGCTGGAAGGTTCGTTGATTAAGTGAGGTCAGAGTACTCTGCTGCTTTGGCAAAACATCAGAAAGAATAGAGAATAACTCCTAGGTGCCAATGGAGAATAAGAAATCTATAAATGTAGTTGGTGTCCTCACCTGAGAAACATTTTTAGAAATGGAAGGTGTCTCAAGAGAATAATCACTCATATCATACATGACTAAAGGTGAGGAACAAGTGACTTGCCTCAATTAGTCAACAGTCAATAGTAGCAGCAGCAATTAAAACAGAACCCTGTCATATACCCAAGCCTGGTGAATTTCCAAATATAACACACTATTCAATATAAACGTAAAGTTAATTTCCAATACAGCTTTGGGTCTCTTGCTACTCTTTCAAATTTTATTGATTTACGAATAGATAACAAATATCCACGACACAAAACTTTAAAACGGACCAAAGAATATATAATAAATAAAACAAAATTCTGTTTATCGTGTTTTGGTAGCTATTTATAAAATATTATTAAAATACAAGAAGAAAATAAAGTTGAATATTTTTTTTCAACTGGGAAGAGAAGGCTTTTCTAAAGCATCCATGTAGTGACAGAATTCATAAAAGAAATGGATTCCACCAAAATCTAAAAATCTGTTTACCATAAAACTCTATTAACAAAACTAAAAAGTAAAGGACAAATTAGAACATGATAAAGAACTCTTAAAAACCAATAAGACCAAACTAAACATTGTAACAAATAAATGGGCAAAAGACATAAAAAGGCTGTTAGTTCACAAAAGAATATATTAAAATGGTATTCAATAGAATTTTAATCTCATAACTTTTTAAAGTTCACATCAATGTCACAGAATACCATTTTTCTTCTATTAAATTGGCAAAGATACAGTTATCAGTGTTGGCTAGAACCCACCCACTGCCGTTGAGTTGACTCATAGCAACTCCATAGAGTTTTCAAGGCTGTAAATCTCTATGAAGCAGACTGCCACAACTCTCCCCTGCAGAGCTGCTGGTGATTTTGAACTCCCAACCTTTCGGTTAGCAGTCAATCGCTTTAACCACTGTGCCACCAGGATTCACTTAACTAGAACAGGCTAGGTATAAATATATTTTACTTTGTGAAGGGCACTTCAGTAATATCTACAAATGCCTTCCCAGTGTACCTGCCCTATGTGCCAACAATTTACTTCTACACAGTTATCCTAAGGAAATAATTGTGGAAATACAATAGCAAAACACTGTTTATAATATTTAAAAATTGTGAACAGATCACACAGGACATGATCTGAGATTGATTAATTCACTTATGATACATCAATAGAATGGAATACCATACAGTCATTAAAAAGTCTGTAGACTATTTAACGACATAGAAGTTGTCACAGACAAATTTAAAAATTCTTTTGAATAGATAATATGTTCACATGGTTCAAAAATCTAAACAACAGAAAACACACACATCGAGAATTCTCATCCTCCTCACCTTTTACAGATAATCACTCTTCTTACTAAAAGGTAGTACACTGTTCTGCATCTTTTTTTATATTTATTATCAAGATAAAAATATATCAGGATAAAATTTTAAATTGTAAGAAGGTTATGCAAGCATAATATACTACACAAACTCATATTTTTTAATTCCTCTTATCAGGAAGTCACTTAAATTAAAAGAAAATAAAACCAGAAACTGACATATGAATTACACTTACCTGCTTCAGGTTTGTTCAAGTCGTATATGCGTAACAGTTTATCTTGTCCCCCGGTTAACAAATAATTACTATCCTGAAAAACACATAAGTAAAATGTTAAGTAATTAATTACTTCAATAGTTATTCCTCTTTGAAACCTGGACACCATTTTATCCAAATAAAGCTCACAGAGTTCACAGAGATGCAATATATACCAGTTATTTCTGAGAAGATACTGTGGAGCAGCTGGCCTTCTCATAATGATTAAATCTTTTCAATCTTCCCAATACAAATATTTCACACCTGATTGTATTCCCCTCTTCTGAGTAGCATGTCTTTGATGATCTCAAATTTATCCTCCCCCTTCTGAAAGTAGCTGAGAAAGGTTATTTGGGATTTTAAGAGATTTTGTTGTTGTTGTAGGAGGCAAGAATTTCAGAGTATCTTCAAAGTCGCAAAAAGAATTAATCAAGAAATAACAACTTTGTTCCCAAAACTAAAACCATTCCCAAGGCCAATTTTCAGACAAAGATTAGACTGGACTATGGGACATAAAATGATACTCATGAAGAAGAGTGCGCTTCTTAGCTCAAGTAGATACATGAGACTAAATGGGCAGCTCCTGTCCAGAGGCGAGACAAGAAGGTAGAAGAGGGTGAGGAGCTGGAGGAGCTGGCTGAATGGACACGGGAAATCCGGGGTGAAAAGGAAAAGTGTGCTGTCACAGTATAGGGAGAGCAACTAGAGTCACATAACAATGTATGTATAAATTTTTGTATGAGAGACTGACCTGAATTGTAAACTTTCACTTAAAGCACAATAATAATAAAAAAACATAACAAATTTGTATAGCAGTAGTGGCAAATGGTTAAATGTGCTTGGCTGTTAATCAAAAGGTTGGAGGTTCAAGTCTACCCACAGGTACCTCAAAAGAAAGGCCTGGCAATCTACTTCCAAAAAATCAGCCATTCAAAACTCTATGGAGTACAGTTCTACTCTGACACAGAAGGGGTCACCATGTGTCAAAATCAACTCAATGGCAAGTGGTGGTGGTGGTGTAGTGCAATACAGACAATCAATTCTATCATACCCTATAACAGGAATTTAATATCCTAAAATGAATTCCATTTTCTGATACCTGAGTGAAATCCACAGTCTTGACAATGTGTTTATGAGCCAGGGTCATCAATTCATCTCCTGAGACAGCATCCCACACTTTGCTAAAAGCAAAAAATAAAAAGGATAAATATAATGATAACTTTGATGACTAATTACAAAATAAAGTAGATGTAAAATGTTACATAAGTACATTGTAAATCTCCATATCACCAATATTCCTCACTATCAGACTTCTTTTGATAAAATATTGAAATAAGCCTAAAGAGAACAAAAAAATTCTTAAAAGCCATTTAACTAATTTTCTGTGACACTGGAAAAGATCTGAAGAATTTAAGTAAGATTCAGGAACCAATCCATCCCACTCACTTTGTTTTAGCCTACAGCCATAATACCTTTTAGCAAGATTACAAAGCATTTCAACAATTTTTTAGTTTCACCTTTCCAATTTCTCTCCATACTCTCATGTATGTGCAAAATAAAAAATGAAAAACAAGAAATCTTTAGAAAACTTTTTTTTACAGAATAAAAAGTCTTTGATATAGGCTACACAAAATTTTAAATCAAGACAGCAGAGAACATATTCTTCCCACCTCTACCTCAAAGTTGACGCTTAACTTCTCAAACCCCAGTCAAATTCGACCCAAAGTAACTGCCTTTGATTACATAAATGTAACACCGAGGATTTTAATCTCTCAATTGCATTTGTTTTCCCTGACCCAACTCATCCCAAAATATGTATATGTGTGTGTATATATGCATATATACACACACACATATATATATATGTATTTACGTGTATATATGCATACATATGTATTGGATCCAGGTAATGGTTGCATAAAAAGTACTCTAAGGGGTTCCCAAATAAAAAATTAACGAACTCACTTTAGGTCAGAAGAGGTCAGTAAAAAGAAACAAAGAAAACTTTGCATACAGAAAAAAGAGCTGTCAAGAATGAACAAGCGATGTTCTACATAGCTTTTTATCTTAAAATAATTGACATTTTATTCTATAAACACAAAAAATATATAACAAAGATATATATATGTCCTTCTGGACTCAATGCCAGGGCACAAAAAGCAGAGAAGAAATAATCCCAAAGATTATTTCTGCTTTAGTAGTGCTTTAGCTATAGCTGAGGAGGAAAACATGCTAACGAATACACATTTTATTAAAATTAAAAGACAAGTTGTTATGGATTGAATTGTGCCCCCAAAAATACGTGCTGGAATCCTAACCCCTATACCTGTGAATGTAATCCCATCTGGGAAAAGGTTTTCTTCGTTACGTTAATGAGACCAGGCCATATGAGTGTAGGGAGTGTCTTAGACCCAATCACTTTTGAGATATAAAAAGGCAGATCAGGCACAGAGAGTAGTAAGCACAGAAAGGGAAAACCAGATGCCAGGCCAATTTAGACTGCTAAGGAGCCCAGGAACAGAAGCTGAAAGAGACAAAGACCATCCCCCAGAGCCAACAGAAAAAGCTTTCCTCTACAGTCGGTGCCCTCAAGGACTTTCAACCTTATAAACTGTAAGAAACAGCCCTGGTTTCACAATGGGTGGTAAACGCTCAGCTGTTAACTGAAAGGTTGGCAGTTCGAACCCAAGCAGCAGCTCCACAGGGGGAAAAGACCTGGTGATGCGCTCCTGAAAAGATACTCGTTGCTGTCGAGGCGATTCCGACTCATAGCGACCCTAGAGGACAGAGTGCAGCTGCCTCATTGGGTTTCCAAGGCTGTTTTAGGGAAGCAGAGTGCCACATCTTTCTCCCGAAGAGCAGCTGGCAGGTTTGAACTGTGCCGACCTTCTCCGGTTAGCAACCGAGCACTTAATCGCTTTGCCAGCAGGGCTAACTAAGACACAAGCATCTATATGTTCACAGGAACACAGAAAAAACAAAGCACTGTTTATGCCTGGGAAGTCCAAAAAATCTCATCAGAGCTTTGTTACTGCTGTGTGCCATCAGTTGATTCCAATTCACAGTGATTCTAAGGACAGAACTTCAGAGGGGAAAAAGGGAAAGGCTATTATAGATGAGTATTAGTAGTATGGAGAATGGTAAAGAAATATGAAAGGCCATCTAACAGAAATACAACTACTCCCTTTTTTTGTATACCTTGTTAGTAATATTTACTATACACAATGCTGCAGCATGTATTTTTAAGTTTATGTGTAGTGTTTCCAACCCTCAAAGACAAAGATCAGCTTTATAAGCATATCGTTTAATAAAAAGCAATAATAATGAAAACTAAAAAAAAAAAAAAGAGGTAACTGACTTACGTAAGAACGCACTTATGAAGAAGTCGCTGGAACTAAACCCCATCATAAGTCGGGGAGTACCTGTACTGACATTACTGACAACAAACCTTGCATATTATATACTTGTGTCATGAGTAGCTGAATAAATACGCCTTTAGGGAAATCATATCAACCATAAGTAGCACAGCTATTAAACTCCCAAATGTTCATTTCTTCTTTGCACAGGAAACCTGCTCTGCTCTCTCCCATTCTCAATTCAACTTTCTAGCATGACATTGTCTGAGAAAACATATTCTAATCAGTCGGGCTAATTCTGGCATATTTTCATTATTCACAATAAGAATACTAAAAAGAGCTTATGTTTGGAATAATCTACATGCTTTCTAATATATTATTCAATCATCAGGCACGAAACTGACATTAACTTGCTCAGGGCTCAAATCAAGACAGTGAGGCATCAATAACAATGTCGTTTTATCAGCTAATCCTGCAGCATTTATTTTCCGCACAACTCATATAGTACTTGGCATCTTCCTAAACAACCGATTCCTCTTATATCCCCAGTTTCTTACACATAGTATCAATGCTGTCCGTTCAACACTTTTCACCTCCTAAGAATGGTGGTACAGTGGTTCAAGCACTCGGCTGCTAACCAAAGGGTCGGCAGTTTGAACCTACCAGCCGCTGTGTGGGAGAAATATGTGGCAGTCTACTTCTGTAAAGATTTACAGCTTTAGAAAACCCTATGGGGCAGTTATACTCTGTCCTCGAGTAGGAATCGACTCAATGGCAGTGGTAAGAATGGACTTACCACAGGTTTCAAAAAAAGAGCTGCTTAGCTTAACTTTTTAAAGTTTTAATGAAATAAAGTATTTTATTTTGGGAGGGGGGTGGAACTTGCCTAACCATCTTAGCATATTGGCTTAGTCATCAAGAAGAAATAATATCACTTCTGATTTACCAATAACCTTATTAAGAGAAAAGCTAGATCTTTCCACTGGCTTTTACAAGAAAGAAAAAGTGATTAAAAAAATTGGATTACCTGTAGATTTCTAGGCCCTACCCCAGACCTACTTAACCATTATCTGGACCACAGCATACTAATCTCTCCACTTTTGGCAGATGATTCTGATGAGAGGTAAGTTGGAGGTACAGAGAGAGATAACTCAAAGTAATTCCAACATTAACTTTATCAATTAAGAGAGATAAAGAGAATGATGTTTCAGGAACAATGTACCCATCAATGGACTCAACTCCAACTCATAGTGACCCTCCAGGACAGAGCAGAACTGCCCCGTAGGGTTTCCAAGGCTGTAAATTTACAGAAGCAGATTGCCACATCTTACTGCCACAGAGCAGCTGGTGGGTTCAAACCGCCAACCTTTTGGTTACCAGTTAAGCACTTTAACCACTGTGCCACCAGGGCTCCTCCTATTATATCACAACATCTAAAAGCCTTTACTGGAAAAAAAATTCTTGACATTTAAATCTGCTCAACCTCCCTTGCATGAAACCAGCCATAGTCATAAAAGTTTCAAAACAGTGCAGGGTAAGATTTTGGTCTTGTGGGGGTGGTAATTAACAGTGGTGGTGGTAGCTATCATTGTTACCTTACACATGTAACACTTACATAGTAGCTCTTACTACATTTCAGGCAATGTTCTAAGTACTTTAAACATAATAACTCATTTATTGTTCACAACTAACCTAAGAACTAAGCACTATTATTCTCATTTTTTACAAATGATAAAATTGAAAAAGGTTAAATAGTGTCCAAGGTTACAGAACTATAAAACGATGGAACCTGGATTCAAATCCAGTCAATCTGGCTCCAGAGTTCATGCTCTTAATACTAATACCTCTTGTAACACAGACAGCGAGACATTCTGATAGCACGAAACACTGAATACCTAACCACAGATGTCTTCGAACTCGTGATTCTGTTTAGTCACAATGTTCTCTAAGTGATCTAAACAAAAACAACTGGTTCCCCCATGCCAATTAAACCGGATTTCTGGGAACCAGGTATATCTGATTATTTTAAAAACTCCCCAGATCATTCTAATGTACAGCCAAGGTTATTAATCACTGAAATAGACAAAAGGAAAGACAGAAGAAATCATTGCGTAGAGAAGTGATACAACATTTGTTTTTAGAAGTCAACTGGCAGCAGTACAGAAGATGAGCTAGGAGAGAGAGAGAGAGACTAGCAGCAGCGAGTTAAAAACGGCCCTGAACTAAGGGGACTGGCAGAAGCATGGAGAAACACTGTAGTCAGGAGATACTCTGCAGGTAGAATCAACAAAGATGATAATCTGGACATGGATGCTAAGGGAGAATCAAGAATTATTTATATTTCAACCGTAAAAAATTTAGGAAAAAAAAAGAAGTTCTGTTTGGAACATAATGAGTTTTAAACATGTCCAAAGGCAGTTTAGAAAAACTGGGGCTGAGAGTAAAATCAGGGCTAAAAATCTGGGGTCATCAGCATGTAGAAGACACAGGAGTAGATGATATTCAAGGAGCACATGTAGAGCAGCATTTCTAAACCACGACCACCAACATTCATTATCTGGAGTGCTTCTTAATAATGCAAATTTCTGAGTCCCAAACCAGATATACAAAAATAAGACACTTAATCCTCTTAAATTGTTGAGAATTATTAATGTAGAGAGACAGGCCCAAGGATGGAATTTTGGTGTGATCCACAACATTATACGTTCCATATGACAGGCACTGAGTCAGAATTGCTAAACAAATGAAGTTGAAGTTTTTAATTATTTCAGAACACAATCTACAGAGAAGTCCAAAGATTGTTATTTTGGCTACACTTACGCTGTGAAATCTGCAGCTGCTGTAGCTGCTTTGGTGGCATCCTTATTCAATGTTGCACCCCAAACAGCACCCTTATGACCCAAAAATGTTCCAATCCAGTCTCCTGTATCTCCCTGGCGTAGCATAGGTTTACCATCTAGAAGACATTTTAAAAGAGATCATGTGATTTACAAGTTCAGATTACTTAGAATCTAATACTCAAAACATAAAATTACTTTGAATAACAAAGTGGAAAACGCACTCATTGGAATCACTAAGGAACGTCCAGAAATAAATTAACTGCAAAGGAGAGCTGGTCATTCTCTCCGGGAAGCAATTGTATTCAGTGGGAAGAATACAGAAATGCGTCAAAACAATCCAGATTTTAATCCATATTTTAGACAAACTTTCTAACCAAAATCTCAGTTTTCTATCTCAAAAACGGGGCTAATACCACACAAGAATATCCAATGAGATAACAGGCACGAAAGCCTTTGCGAAATATACGTTAGGTATCACTCGACCTGGCCTAGTACTAAACAGCCTGGCCTAGTTTCTCCTCTCCACAAAATCTCTAAAGATATTTACAGTGTCTGCTCCGGGGGCGACTAGGCAAGTGCACGCTCTAGCTCCCCCGGAAACAGCAAATCAATAAATGAGAGACCTTGGTTGGGAGCACTATTTAGCCTAGAAAGAGGCGTTTCGGTTTCCCCACCAGTGCCGGCGTAGCCCTAACCTCAAAGGCTGGGGTCCCCGCGACCCCTTCGGCACTGCGGAGGGCCCGAGTCACGGCCTGGCTCACCTTTACAAGCGCTGATTAAGAAATAGCCATATGGCGTGATGCCGCTGAAGGCCAAATCAACCACGGGCCGCGTGTGGCCGGAGCAGGTGAGCGGTGTCTGCCTCAGGGCCATGGCGGCGGCGAACTGGGCGCTCGGGCTGTGGAGCCCGCGAGGGTCTTCGTCTTTTCTCTCCTCCGCGGAGGCGCCTCAGGCTCCTCAAGGCCCCCGCCCTGGCACTGGGACTGGGCCGGGAAACAGGAAAAGGCCAAGCCGCTGGCACCGAAGTCAGGAGGGGGTGAGGGAGGGGTCAGGGAGTACGCGACGGGCGAGCGACAGTCCCCCGGGGAGGGGAAGGGAGGGAGGGAGGAGAAAAGGGGAGGGGGAGAACCGGAGTATCGGCTCGGCAGCGACCCACACCTTCCACACCGGTAGCAGCAGGAAGTGACGATGTAACGACGCAAAGCGTCCGCCGGAAGTGACCACCGGGCAAGAAGGCGGGTACGCCCAGCAGAAGAAGGCGCGAGTTCAATACACGTTGAGCACGTGATGCTGCCCCTCGGAGGTTTCCCCGCCAGTGTGTCTCGCGCCTGATTGGGACTTCCCGAGAGCGGCTTTGCTGGGTACTGCACTGCAATCCCAGCCAGAATTCGTTGGGATCTCGAAACTGTTCTCCCTGCTCTAAGACATGGGACCCGGCGGCCGCTGTGGATTACTCAGCGACTAATCCAACGAGTTGGACTGCCCTGCATGCAAACATTTAGACAAATCAGAGTCGTTCCCAGTGATAGGCAAAACCAGCCAATATCGTCTTAACAATTTTTTTTTTCAATTTTTCTTATTTAAAACTATGTAGAAAGCTCCTCTAGGGGTTGTCTACAAGTAAGCCCCTAAAAAGAGTAATTTCCCCAGTGATGCCCTCTGCAGTGTAACTTTCTTGTATTGCTAGCGTTTTAGACGGGAGTGTTATGTGACTTTAAATACAGTTGAATTCCAATTTGGACTTCGTAGGACTCTAGAGCAGTAGTCCCCAAACTCGTTTAATGAAATAATTAAATGTGAGCCCTCCCAACATATATATAATAATTTATAAGTTATATATGTGTACATTATAATACATGGACGAAAATAGAAGTTATAAAAGAATCTGAAAACTAAATTAAAAAAAAAAAAAACTTCTGGAATTACCTTCCTGCAGGCGGCTCCCTCTGGGGATCACTGCTCGACAACAATAACAACAAAAACAAAATGAGCAGTTTTTGGAAAATTATCAGTAGAGGAAGGGAAAACCACTGTCAATGTCAGATACAAAAGTATATTCTTTTGTATATCTAAGGATATAACCAAAATAATGCCCAATAAAATAGAATGAAAGAGAATATATTTACACTGTTCTTGCACAAGTAACAGACTGAGTGGCCATACTTTAAACGTGGTAATAGGATCTTTGCATAGAAAATTTTGTTATTTTTAAGTAGAAGAAAGGAAGTAAATGCAAAAGACAGAAAAAATTGCTGAAAAAAACTGATAAAATGTTTAGGCAAAAATTGCTCTACACTCTCTGAAAAATTAAACAGAACATGAACTCTTTATAACAAGAGACCAAAAAAGAAATGATGTGAAAACAAATGGAGATGCAAACCCGGCTGGGGTTAAGAAACGTAACTGAAGTTAAAAGAAAAAAAAATCGTTATAGGTATGAAAACTGTATTTGAAGCAGTAAGAAAGAGAATTGACTCAAACGAGTCAATAACATGGAAAACGGGTACCCTGATTAAGACAATAATGCTAGAATAATGCTATGTATTTTACCTCCTAACGGAGTGTGGAGGAAAAGATACATAACTCAGGGGAAAAAAAGGCAAATGACAATAGCCAACTATGCCTGAGCCTCTTTTTAGCCCACTCAAATTTATTCTCCTTATCTTCCTGAGAATATGGATGCCCAGCTGGGCTATATTTCCCAGCCTCCCTTGTGGCTACATGTGGCCATGTATCTGAATTCTCACCAATGGCATGTGATTGGAAGAGAGATGTGCCTTTGCCTGGACCAGACTTCTTCAGATTTGCATTGCAGTAGGAGTTCCTTCCCACCCAATCCTCCTTCATCTTTTCTTTCACAAGTGTCAGACTAGCATCATGGCCTGAAGGCTTTCCCTGCCTACTCCTGCTCCCTTTTCCCTTTTCATTCACAGACACTTTACTCAACATAATCTAATTCCTCCTTGATGTCTGCATTTCAGAGGTCTCTAACTGACCCACCCAGTGAATTGTTAATTCAGCCATTGTACTTATTCATTTTTTAAAAATTTCCACTTGGTTCTTTTTGATAATTTCTATTACTCTGCTGAGATTTTCTCCTTGTTCATTCATTATGAGCATATTTTCTTTTATGTCCTTGAGCACAGTTACAATAGCTACTTCAAATATTCTTGTCTGCTAATTCCAGTATCTGGGTCATCTCTGGGTCATTCTATATTGATTGCTTTTTCTTTTGAGTGTGCTTCATATTTTGTTTCTTCACACGCTTAGTAACTTCGGATTTTATCCTGGACATTGTGAATCATATGTTGAAACTCTTGATTCTGTTATGATCCTATTAAAAGTATTTATCTCACTGTATATTTTTTATAGCAAGAAACTCCAAACTGTCATTTCAGCAGTGGGCAGCAGCAGAAATCTCTTATAAGGCTTTTTAGCCTTAGCTGGCTGTTTGATGTCTGCACCATGCGTGCATAGATCAGGGGTAATCCGAAAGTCGGCCAGGGTTTATACACAGTATTTTGAGGTCCTTTCCTCTGAGAATCTCTTTTCTAGGATTTGCCTCTTCACTTCCTAACTTCTGTGGTCCTCCGACACTCGGTCCTCTGGTTCATTAAGCCAGTAAGAGTGCAGCTTTTCTGACTTTTAACCATGCTGCTTGGCAATGAGCTGAGGCCTGACCTCAGGCCAAAAGCCATAAAAATGGGAAAATTACCCAGCGCCCTTTTCTTCTTCCAAAGGTACATCCTGTTTTAGGGTCTGCCTGCTTTTAGTTGCTCTCCATCCAGTGCCTTCAAGTACTGTTTTTTATCTTTGTCCTGAGGTTAGAATTGTTTCCAGCAAGAGGTGGTCTGTTAGGAGCTATTCTTCCATTATTAAAAGATACTTGGTTCGGGGTTTTTTTTCCTTTGATTAAATGATACAAAATTATTCAGAAAGAATAAATTTACAAAAGTAGCCAGGAATTTTCTGTGGAGATTAGTCTCTTCAAACAGAAATATGTATTGCTAAATAATATCAATATACAATAATACTAATATATAGCAAACATATGAGTGGCCCAGGCATAAGTGTATAAATCAGTGAGTGTGTGGAAACTATAAACAGACCAAAGTTCATCTAGAAATTTAGTAAATGCTAAGTTGGAATTTTAAGTCAGTAGGGATAAATGCTAATATTATGACAACAGGCTAGCAATTTGAAAAAACATTAAGTTTGATCATTTTACCTCACTTATTACATAAATTGCAGATGCATCCAAGATTTAGATGTTAAAATAAACCACAAAGGTAAGAGAAGAAAGCATGAATAATTATTTTTATAATCTAAGAATATGTAACACCTTCCTAAACATGACATAAAGCCTGGAAGCCATAATGAAAAAGATTGATAAATCACATTGTTGTTGTTAGGTGCCGTCAAGTCGGTTCCAACTCATAGTGACCCGATGTACAACAGAATGAAACCATACTTTATAGAAAATAAAACTTCTTTATGGCTAAAAACAATACCCACCCACTGCCGTTGAGTCAGTTCCAACTTATAGTGACCCTATAGGACAGGGTAGAACTGCCCTATGTTTCCTAGGCTGTAAATCTTTACTGAAGCAGACTGCCATATCTTTCTCCTGCAGAGCTGCTGCTGGGTTTGTACCATGGCCCTTTCAGTTAGCAGGGAGCACTTTAACCACTGCACCATCAGGGCGCCTAAAAACATAATAAAGTAAGTGAAAAGAGGAACGGGGGACACCTGCAGCTCATGTGACACAATGGAAAGTTTTCTGAATGTGCAGAATTCTCTTCCTAGTTCAGTCCTGACATCTATAGCTGACCCATCGTTTGTACTTACATGTCCTACAGGCATTGTAAACTCAACATGTCTCAAACAGAATGTATGATATTCTTCCCCAAAACAGCGTTTTTGGTTTTCCCTTGTCTTATTAAATAACAACACTCACATCCAGTTGTTTAGACCAGAGATAGAGGCATCAGTTGACAATTTCTTTTCCCTCCATCTTCCCACCCCTTTAATAATTGTGAAGGTTATTTTTACGTGCCATCTTGGCTAGGCTATGGTGCCCAGTTTGGTCAAACACTAGTCTAGACTCTGTTATAAAGCAGTTACTTCTGATTAAATCAGTTGACCTTAAGTAAAGTTGATTAAGATCCAGAATGTGGGCGGGCCTCATCCAATCATTGAAGACTTTAAGATCAAAAAGAGAGTTTTCCCTAGGGTGTATTCTTCTTCCAGACTATAAGTAGACGTTTTGTCAGAATTCCCTCCCTTTTCACTCTTCCTGTTGCCTGACCTACAGATTTTTGGGACATAAGACTGCAGGAATCTTCAGTCTGTCTCCTGACCTACAGATTTTGGCCTTGTCCAAAATACCAAAACCAAACCAAAACCAAACCTGTTGATTATGACTCATAGTGACTCTATAGGACAGAGTAGAACTGCCCCATAGTGTTTCCAAGGAGCGGCTGGTGGAGTTAACTGCTGACCTTTTGGTTAGCAGCCATAGCTCTTAACCACTGTGCCACCAAGTCTCCATGTGGCCTTGTCAGTACCCCCAAAATTGTGTAAGCCAATTCTTTAAAGTAAATCTCTCAATACACACGCATGCACACACATCTTTCTTACTGATTCTGTTTCTCTACAGAAACTGGACTGTGATAATAATGCTGTATATTCTACCTCCTAACCACATTGGAATCTTGGGTGATACAAACAGTTAACAGCTTGGCTGCTAACTGAAAGGTTGAAGGTTCAAGTCCACCCAGAGGTGCCTTGGAGGAAAGGCCTGGCAAGTTACTTCCAAAAAATCAGCCACTGAAAACCCTATGGAGCACAGTTCTACTCTGACACACATGGGGTTGCCATGAGTTGGTGTAGACTCAGCGGCAATTGGTTAAGCAGATTTAAATAATCCAGTGTGCCAATTCATCACCAACCCTCCATCATCTTTGTCCTGAACTCTATAATAACCTCCTAACTGGTTTCCTGGGTCTGCTCTCATTCCCATTCATTTCATTCTCTAAGCGGCAGCTGGAGCTATCTTTTTAAAAAATAAATTTAATCCTATCGTTTCTTGCTCTCAGTTGCCCTAAGGATAAAGTCCAGAATGCTGGCTATAAGATCCTGATAATGTTCATCATTGTCTTTTGTCACTCACCCTTGCTTACTTTCCCATCTTTCTGTCCCTCAGACTTGCCAAATATCTT